ATAATAATAATAATATTAATAATAATAATAATAGTCACAGTCATATATTTGGTAGATGCTGTTCTGCAATTTCAGATCATAACAACATAAGAGAAACCATGGTAGATCAGGCCAATGGCCCATCCAGTCCAACACTGTGTCACACAGTGGCCAAAACCCAGGTGCCATTAGGAGGTCCACCAGTGGGGCCAGAACACCAGAAACCCTCCCACTGTTACCTCCCAAGCACCAAGAATATACAGCATCACTGCCTCAGACAGTGTTCCACCTATACCTTATGGCTAATAGCCACTGATGGACCTTTGCTCCATATGTTTATCCAATCCCCTCTTGAAACTGTCTATACTTGTAGCTTCTACTACTTCCTGCAGGAGTGAATTCCATGTGTTAAATTACTCTTTGGCTGAAGAAGTACTTCCTTTTATCTTTTCTAAGCCTACTAGCTCATTAGTTTCATTGAGTGCCCATTAGTTCTTGTATTGTGAGAAAGGGAGAAGGGTATTTCTATCCCTTCTCTATCCCATGCATAATTTTGTAAGCCTCTGTCATGTCATCCCTCAGCCATCGTTGTTTCTTCAAGCTAAAAAGCCCTAACCTCTTTACCCTTTCTTCATAGGGAAGGTGTTCCATCCCCTTAATCATTTTAGTTGCCCTTTTCTGCATCTTTTCCAATGTTATAATATCTTTTTTCAGGTGCCGTGACCAAAACTGTACACAGTATTCCAAATGAATAGGCACCATAGATTTATACATTATGATACTGCCTGATCTGTTTTCAATCCCCTTCCTAACAATCCCCAGCATAGCATTTGCTTTTTTTATTGCAGTCACACAGAGTTGATATCTTCAGTGAGTTATCTACCACAACTCCAAGATCTCTCTCCTGGTCAGTTACCACTAGTTTGGACTCCATCAATGTAGATTTATAGTTAGGATTTTTGGCTCCTATGTGCATTACTTTGCCCACATTGAACTTCATTTGCCATGTTGACACCCAGTTGCCCAGACTCGACAGATCCCTCTAGAGTGCATCACAGTCCTCCCTGGTTCTCACCACCCTGAACAGCTTAGTGTCATCCGCAAACTTAGCCACTTGACTGCTTACTCCAAATTGTTAATGAACAAGTTAAAAGTACTGAGCCCTGCAGCATCCTACTGCTTACCACCTTCCACTGTGAAAACTGCCCCATCTAGACTCACTCTCTGTTTCCTGTTAATTAGCCAGTTTTTAATCCACAAGAGGGCTTGACCTCTTATCCCATGACTGCTGAGTTTACTTAGGAGGCTTTGAGGAGAAACTTTATCAAAAGCTTTCTGGAAGTCTTAGTAAACAATATCTACTGGGTTACCCTTGTCTGCCATTTCCCTATCATCCTTTAACAATCCTTTTATCCCTTAGTCATCCAAGGGCCTTGCTGCCTCCCTGGATGGTTTTCTGCTTCTAATGTATTTGAATAAATTTTTATTGTTAGTCTTTATGTTTTTTGCAATATGTTTCTCATAGTACCTGTTTGTCTATCTGATCATCAACTTGCATTTTATTTGCCAAAGCCAGTGCTCCCTTTTATTTACCTCACTTGGTAAAGCCTTCCATCGCTTAAAGGAAATCTTCTTACCTTTTACTGCTTCCATTACTTTGTTTGTTAGCCATGCAGGCCTTTTTTTAAATACCTATCTGTTCCTTTCCTAACATGATGTATACATTGAATCTGAGCTTCCAATATTGTAGTTTTAAATAGTCTCCAGACTTCCTGAAGGGATTTGAGCTTTCTTACTTTTCCTCTCAGTTTCTTCTTTACAAGCCCCCTCATTTGCGAGAAGTTATCCCTTCAGCCACCGTGGCCTTGAAGATGCAAACTCATTCCCAGAGAACCAGGAGGCCCTTGCACTGAGCACACACCCATGACTTCTGTCCAGCTGGCAGATAGTTATACATGCTGTAATCAGTGAATAGTGAATAGACCTCAACCCCCTGCTGGCATTGTACCTTCATAATTGTTGTTTTTTTAAATCCCCTTTTTAATTCATTTCCTATTTATGTAGATCTGTTTGATGAAAGTGTGCTTAGCCTTTTAGGGATGTGGAAAAACTAGTGCCCTAGGTTTCTCACCTTGCTGCTGAACTCGCACATCTCCTCAATTTGCCTGTTTATTCCCTTGCCACGGAAGGTGGGACACTTCTACATGAGAGTGGGGATTGCTGCCTCACAGAACTGGGGCCTGCTTGTAGGAGCCCTAAATACATCACTTAGGCCAAAACTCCACACCCCACTAGAGCCAGTCACACTGAATGGGAGCTAACCAATAAAGGGGGATGAGTAAATCAGCCTCTGGTTAATTAACAATGTATTGCTGACAAGAGCTCCTCTCCTTCCCAGGCTGCCTTTTACTTCAAATGCTAATTTAATGCTAAATTAATTTCAAATGTTAATTTAGCACTTCTAGGCTTGGATTAAAGGGGACTCTAATTGAATAGCCTCAGCAGTTACAGGACATATCTAACTGCTTGTTAGGGAACCCCCCCCTCTTTAAAGAATGTGAGAATTAGCTTAAAATTTTAGATTTAGTTTAGAATTGGACCGTCTGTTTTTTAAGCCCTAGTTATATTTAAACCCCAGCTGTAGTTTGCTTTGTTCTTTGTTTGTTGTTTCCCTTTTCTATTAGAAAAGCCTGCCTTATCTATGGACTGACTATCCTAGCCTTTAGTATTAGTACTTTAATCTACAGGTGTAATAAAGATTAAAAGAGATATTAGAGCACAAGCTAGCCCTGTGACTTCAGTTTAAATCCTTGTCCTTTGTTTGACCCTGTTTAACCCTTCCCATACTGCAGTAAACTACCCAAGAACCTCTGAGCCTGTTTAGACCTAAAATTAGCTACACCTGAGTAGTTTAAGCAGCTACAACTCAACTAAAATTAGAACTAGATCAGAAAATTAGAACAGAACTAAAATAAGAACTAAAATTAGCTACACCTGAGCTGTTTGAACAGCTACAACACTGAGAAGTTACAAAATGTTGCTACCTAAAGGTAATTTTTACAAAATTATTTGCCCTCCTAACTATTTTAACCCTTTTCACTTAGCCTATCTTGATAGAATTTTATTAAACTTGGTGTGGGTGTATATGTAACCTGCTAAACTCACTTGTTTATTCCCATGTTCACTTTGTTTGTTCACTTTGTCACTGGAGCTGGGACACTTTGTCACTGGAGCAGGGCCTATTTCTATTCTGCTGTCTCCTGGGATTGCAATGCCAATAATCCAAACCCTATTTCCCATTTTTTCTACAATTGCAATATCAGGGGTGTTACGGTGCAAGTGTTTATCTGTTTATAATAACTTTTCAATTTATTGGTAGTACTCCTTGGCTGTATTTTTCTTAACGAGGATATGTTTGATGTTATCAGCTTCCAAAATATTTGTTGTTTTCTTTAATCCTCAGTGATGTTGTTGTTTGGCATCTTGCTTTTTTCTTAACGATCTTTCCTCTATTCAATGCTAATGCTGCACACTTGTCAAGATTATTATTCTTATTTATGAATTGTTACAGTCATATAGTTGATGGGTAAATGGTGATTTGCAAGTCAAGATCTAGCCAAGTTTTTGGAAATGGCAGATGTATCTTCACAGGATTCTTGCTGTTCCAAACAACACTATCTTGTGGAGATGAGCTGGTGTTATTTGTTCTATACTCAGAATGTCCAGGTGTTTCTTGAGACTTCTTGGCACTGCTCCAAGGGCTCCACTGACAACTGGCACGATGGTAACCTCCTTCTTCCAGATATTCTCTAACTCTGTTCATAAGTCTTTGTATTTTGTGATATTCTCCTGTTCTTTCTTTTCTATTATGCTGTCTCCTGGGATTGCAATATCAAAGCCTATTTCTCATTTTTTTCTGCAATTGGGATATCAGGGGAGTTATGTTCCAGGTGTTTACCTGTTTGCAATTGGAAGTCCCAAAGAATCTTTGTTTCATATTTCTCCATGATCTTGTCTAGTTTGTGCTCTAGTTAATTTCTGGCTGATGGTAAGCCATATTTCTTGCAAAGATTCCAGTGCAACATAGCTGCAATTCTATTGTGATATTTTTTTATAGTCAATTTGAGCGATTTTGCTGCAGGCACTGATCATGTGGTCGACTGTTTCATCCTTTGCCTTGAAAAGTCAACACTTGCTGTTATCACTGGTCTTCTGAATCTTGGCTTTCACACTATTCATTTCAAGTGCCTGGTCTTGCACAGCTAGAATGAGTCCTTCTGTTTCTTTTTTAAAAAAATTATTGTTGTTGTTGTTGTTGTCATTTACAAAATTTATATCCCACCTTTCTGACCTCACAAGGGCCACCAAGGCAGCTAGCGATTTAAAACATACAAGATAAAACCACATTTTAAAGCCATTAAAATCAACCCCTGCCCAAACACATATCATTAAAACAATTAAAAACAGTTTTAAAATATGTACAAAGACATAAAAACAGCAATGACAACATTGGGTCAGCTTATTATTATCATCCCTGAAGTATTCATTTATGGCATCTGAAGAAAATGCCAAACAAGCAAGTCAGTTTTGTAGTTTTGTGCCATTTTATGCCAAGAGAATAAAAATCTTAGCAAAGAGGTGTGTACTGTAGTTGAACCTCAATGAAGGGAATAAAGTATCTTTTCTTTTCTTTTCTTTATCTGAGTTTGGAAGTGGTTGGCTAGTTGGGGTGCACCTGCACATTTTCTCCTCCTCCTAGTTGTTGGCATACAAGGGAGGACTAGGAGGAGCAATGGCAGAATTATTGGTTCACATGAGTGTTCCAGTCTTTCTACTGAGGGCACAGAAATAAGGGCAGAGACACAAGGAGGCCAGCAGAAAAGGTTGGACCAAGCCTCAATGAGAACATCACCCAGTTCACCCACCACTCTGAAACACTTAACTGATGTTTTCTGCTCATGAAATGCAAACAATGTACTAAGTTATTTGCCTACAGAATACATTGTTTCTAAGATGCTCAGAAGCTGTTTACTATAGAGACAAAAGCCCACTATAGATGACAGCCCCACACATTCACTAAATGTGAATGGAGCAAGAGTGGGCATGAGCAAGCTGTCCCTGCCTCCCACCTTCATATAATCACCTGGGATTATGTCCACAGGGATAACAGTGATGTACATTTTTTGTGGTTGGGTTTAATATTAGGGCTTTTTGTTGTTTATTAAAAGGATTAGGACGACTGTCCCATTCATCATCAAACCAACTAAAGCTGTTGTGAAAAGTCTAATTTAGTGTCTGATTCTCATTGTCTTTGAAAAGCATCCACACTGAAGTGAACCAGGGTGAGGGTTAATGAATATGATTATGCTACCAATAAATTAACTGATACCCTTTGTTGGGTCAAGATTGCCTCCTGCATCTCTCTGGATAGTTAATACCAGCTTTTTTAATGCCTGCCAAAGCTTGGAGGGGAGTAGCATAAAAAACGGATGGCAACTGGTGCTGGGATTGGGTCTCCCTCATCCTGTTTGCGGTTTGTAACCTGCTGCCAAATAAATCCTCCCTTTATCTTTATTGCCGCATGATTAATAGTAACACATTTCATTGTGTTGAGAAAGTGCCAAAGGAAACAGTGTGCTTCTGGCATTACGTCCTTCTCTGCAATTTCCTGGATTGGAAACCCACTAAGTGACATTCACCATTCTTGCTTTGTTGCAAGCTAACCCAAATTTCACAGCGATCCTGTCCCCGCACTTTACAGCCACACAAGAGCTCACTGCTAACATGCCAAGTGAGGTCTGACTCTGCTAGGAAAGTAGTGGGGAGGGGGGCCAGGAACCACTGTCTCACTGTAAGACATCAAAATGTGCCAGAGAGTAGAATGCAAGAATGCAGAGTGCCTTCGGTGACAGGGTAACACTTAAATCATAATAGAGTCGGTCATAAATTATTAAAATATATTGCAGGGAGTTTCTGCAAGATTAAGCCTGTACTGTAGTAGAGTCTTGGTAGCAATGATTAAGGGTGGAACTACAAGCATATGTTTCCCAAATATGCACTTGCTGATTAATCCCAAAGCAGGGGCAGGGTGTGGTTGCAAATTTGGATGTATTTAACCCTTTCTATTGTCTGTTGATTCTCACCTATAAGGGTGCTCCCCAAGTCACCAGCCTTTTTTTTTTGTCCCTGGAGCACCTTTTCTATGAGGAAAGGCTAAAGAGTCGGGTGCACACACACGTGCGCGCACACACAACAGATTTTATAAAACTATGCATGAGGCAGAGAGGGTGGATAGAGCTTTCCCCTCATATAGCACTACAACCCCGGGGCACCCAGTGATAATAGTGAGGAACAGGTTAAAGATGGACAACAGGAAATACTTCTACACAGCAAGTCCTTAAATTGCAAAATTCACTGCCAGTGGATGTAGATGGCAAGGTTGGCTTTGAAAGGGGATTAAACAGATTTGTAATGTTTTACTGATGTATTTTAAAATCTTGGAATTTTGTAAAGGTGTACTTCTTTTTGTATGACTGGTCTAAGGACTGCAGAAATAAAATAAACTAAAAACAGATTTGTGGAGAAGTACATCAGTGGCTACTAGTCATGACAAAGGAGAACCTCCACATCCAGAGGTAGTAAATCTTTGAATATGAGTACTACGAGGCAACACAATAGGGAGGCCTTCTCTATATTCTCCTGTTTGTTGCCCACCCAGGACAACTGTGTCAAACAGGATGCTGCACTAAATGGACCACTGTTCTGATCTGGTCTTGTGGCTTTGAAGTTTAGGTTAGGGAGAAAAAAAATCAGCGAAGAGCCAGTAGGAAGAATCAGTGGACCCAACAACAATTCAGCACCCACCACAATTAGCATCACTAGGGATATAAAGGTTAGGAGTGTTACATTTCTTTTGTAAAATGTAGTTCCACCCGAAGTCTTAAAGTTATTGCACAAGTGTGAACAGAGACAGCCAGCAAAGTAAACTCTAAGTAGGGAAACTTAAAGGACACATCTATAAGTTTTACTACACTGGAGATGCCAGGAACAAAAAAATAAAAGAAAAGAAAATGGACAGAGCACAGGATAACTTCTAACCTTACCTCAAGTATGTTTTCAGTGCACTAGTGATTGTTTTTATCTCCCACTCTGCACAGATGTCATCTTCTGTTTCTGCTGTTTTAGGATCTAAGGAGAAAGAAACAAGAGAGCCCACAAGGCAACAAATTAATCTGCAGGACAGACACCAAAATTAACCTGTTTCTTGGTTATAACATTTTCCTTGCTGTAATTTCACAGTTGGTTAGTACTGCTTCTGTAGGCTTCTGACTGGAGATGGAGAAATCTATTCTGCCACCATCTATTTTCCTCACCACCCTAGACAAAAGAGGGAAGACTCCCCCTCCCCATCAACTTGGAGTCTGCACCACATGCTGGGCAGCAGGCTCAGGGGTTCCACCCTCCGGTGGAGTCAAATTGGGGTGTGACCAATGCAAGTGCCTCTGTAGAACACTAGTGGTTAAGTGATGCGGATCTCTCCCCTGACGAACATGTACCCTGCACACCTGGCACTCCACCACACAGGGACACCAGGTGAAATGCGGACGTACTTCCATGCAGCAGACTGCAGCCGTGCCCCCACGCCCATCAGCGGGGCACTTTTCAGGCATAACCGTTTCCCGGACTCAGACCCCTGGACTGATGGGGGGTGTACCAACGGTTGAGAGATAGGCGGTTGATCGCAGCCGGGAACCTCTGGGAACGGAACAGGATGACACGCTTCGGCCATCATCACTGCCCTCACCACTAGCAACAGTGGTCTCCTCCCTCTCAAACATAGTTTGCCCCTGGGGCCCACCTGGAACTGGGGGGGCCTCTCATCCAGTGACCAAGACCAGCCTCATGGACTTTGCAGGGGAACCTGACATGGAGGCCACTGATGAAGTACCTGAGCAGGAGGGCACCAAGAATGTGGGAGAATGTGGTTGTACCCCACCACCTGTGACCAGAGTGCCCTGTCTTCCCATCTGCCCACGCCTGTGACCACAACCCCTTCGGGGGCCCCTCATGTCCCCACATCATCTGCCCAGGTAGTGGGGGTGAAAGAGTGGCTGCTTGAGTCGCGGGGAAATGCTGTGAGGGTCAGTGGGTTGGGAGCCTCATTGGCAAAAGGAGGGGGGCCAAAGGCAGCGACTCAACCCACCTAGGGAGAAGGGTTTTTTCCCTTTCAACAGGGGCAATCGAGGCAAGTCCCCACAGCCAGCAGTCAGGGGAGAGAGAGGGACCCAAAGGCAGAGACTCGACCCACCCAGGGAGGAGGCTTTCTTTATTTTTGCAGGGGTAGTGAAGGCAAGCCCCGCAGTCGGCATCAAGGACAGTTAGCCCCAATGTTCCCTCTAAGCCGTGGAGTCTTGTGAGCAAAAATTCTACTTTGTGTGCTACTAGCATTAAAGTTGTGAGCAAGCGATTTGGCTGCTGCATACATTAGTCTGCTCTGGAGCCATCCTTCCTGAGCTAAGACAAAAATGTGCGAGCTGGAGGCTAAAAAACTGTGAGCCAGCTCACACTCTCAGCTTAGAGGGAACACTGGTTAGCCCCCCCCCCGAAATTGCTTCGAGAGTGGGGTGCCCTCTTGCCATGAAAGAGAAGGGTTATGCCAATAAAGGTCTATGTATGTATGTGGAAGAGAAGGAACTGCCAAATTCGAGACCGCAGTGACCCAAGCAGAAGGGGGGGTGCTCTTTCAAAGAAGAAAAGCGAGCCCCACAGTCAGTGCCAAGGGCAGTTCCAGGAAACAGTTAGACAGTGGGTCCCCACTTTCCAGGCCAGAGAGAGAACTTTGAAGTAAGGGACTTCATGAACCCAGGGAGGCGGGGTGCAGAAAGGGGAGAAAACCCATGGCCAGGGGACTTTGCCAGCTTCCTGCCCCAGAAGGTGGTTTGAGAGTTGGTCACTGAGGGGTGAGAGAGAGAGAGAGGAGGAACTCTGAGGTGAGGGACTTCAGCAACCCAGGGAGGCAGGGTATAGAAGGGGAGAAAACCTACAGCCTGTGCCCAAGTGACTTTGCCAGAGCCAGCTCCCTGACCCAAAATGTGGTTTGAGACTTGGTCATCAAGGGAGGGGAAGAGAAGGAACTCTGAGGGGAGGGGCTTCAGCAACCAAGGGAGGCACGGTACAGAGAGGAAAAGACCCACAGCCAGTACTAAGGGCAGTCACCCCCCCCCAAGAGTCATTGGTCACCAACTGGCCAGGGGAGAGTGGGTGTCCTTTTGGGATGAGCAGAGAAGTCAAACCCCACCACCAGCAGGCACAGAAAACAGTCGCTTGCAGAACCCAAAGAAGGGGTGGGGTGACTCCATTGCTTGACTTGCCAAGGCAACAGGCAACCCCGGAGTCAAACCAAAAATGCACTGTGAAAGCAGAAGAATTCAATCCCAGTTTCCCACAGGGAAGAGAGAAAAGGCAGGAAGTGACCAGGCATTGCAGCGGAGAAACACAGAAAGGGGGGGAACGGAGATACAAGGGAAGGGGAGGATATTTTTCATCTGGTGATTGGTATCATCGTCAGGAGATCCAGCTGGTTTTTCCGCCCACCCACCCAAGTAAATTTTTCCCCCACCCCAGGCCCACAACAAGATTTTTTCTGTGTGCAAAAGGAACACTGCACTGCAAGAGACCGTGATGCAAAACAAAGGACGGTCATGCACCACCTGGGAATATATACACACACTCCTCCCATTCTGAGGGAGAAGGATGGATGTTTCTGATTGGAAATTGGAGATGCCTGTTGACCTCGGGTGCCCGGCATTGTTCCCTTGACGGCCAAAAAATCCCACCTACACCCAATTTTCGGTGCGAAATGGCGGGGGGGGGGTTTCTCTGGCGAAAGTAGCTGAATGCTTCCGAGCTGAGAGCGTGAAGACCTTCGAGCCGGTCTGTCCGAGCCCCCAAAAAGGCGATGTTCGGCCTGGATTTTGGTTTGGTGTTTGGGTCTGTGCCCACCCCTACTAATCAGTATACATGTCTGCTGAAGGACATGCCACAAAGTAGCTGAAACACAGCCTAAACACAGTTTACAGGAGGGAACTGTGAGGCTACAAAACAAAAGCCCAAGAAGCCTAAAACAGTCACCCCAGGAAGACCTTTCTTTAAACATATCAAACTTCTATAAAAATATCACTGTTCTGTTTCTCAATATTTCTTTAATTCTATAAGAAGATGATATATTATACCAAATTACTTGGTGTTTATGGACTATTATTATGTCCAGGTCAAGAGAATAAGCACTAAGAAGTGTCTTAGAACCTAAGAATAGATTGACACTATTAAAATAAGCTACTCAAAATATTAATATAGGCACCAAATGAATGGAAAAACTGTTTAATGGGGGAGGATGCCTACTTGCAAACTTGGCAAGACCCAACTGACTTAGAAGGATATAACTCTGCTTAGATTAGCACCGTTGGACATGGATGCAAATCTTGGTAGCAAAGATGACTGCTTAGCGGTCAGCAGTACCAGATAGTTTTAACCTAAAGTGGAGCTCCCCAGAGTGAATCAAGAAAAACAATCACAGATGCGCACACATTTCCTATCACACCCTGAGATGCACTATGAAATGGGAATTGAACCTGAAATGACGCCATGCAGGGCTGGGTTGTCCACTTTTCAAAGGATGCCATTAGGCTACAGACTGTTAAAAAGTTGAAAGGGGCAAGCACTAGGGGCCAGTTTAACCCTCACCATATGTTCTTTCTCCTGTACAGTTGCCATTTGCTATTACAGGATGATACATATTACAGGAAGAACTATATCCCTTACATTATTACCCCCCACTCTTTCTGAAAACAGCTATGAAGCAGTCTAGTCTGACATGGCAGAAGTAAATCTGAACCTATAACCAACTAGAACACACTGCCTATCACTACACTGCATTTAACGGCCACATTGGTATAAAATGCAAAGCTTGCTCACTAATTCTGACACAATGTGACCCAGCTTCTAATGGCAGGGCGGGCATACAGTTCAATACAACCTTGCATACACCCTGCCAGTGATAATGATGGGTGATAATTTTTGCTAACAATAAATTGTAATAATAAGTAGTATGACTGCACTATGTGAAATTATGTGCAACAGTTTATGGGTGTCTCATTTTTGGCAGAGTTACATATGTGTTTATATGCTTGCCCAGGGCAGATTCCATGCCAGACTCTGTACTTCTTCTTCTTCTTTTTTTAAGTGTGCATGTACACAGACAGGAGCACGCAAATGCACTCACTATAGCCACTGCATCCAGCAGTTACATTGTGTTTGGATTACAACAGAGAAAAATGAAGTTCTCACACAATGCCATATAATGGGGCTTTGGCACAGCCGGGTGTCAGCAAATTATCCGCTGAGCTGCTTGACCCAGCAGACCTTAAGCTCACAACTCCAGAAACCTTTCACCAGATGAGCCCTCTTGCCAGACTGACGTTTGCTGCTAGAAGACAAAGAAATTCTGCTCAGGCGGTTCCCACTGGCTTGCAAACCACAAACATCTGCAGAGAGCCCCAGGAGGCCTGTTAAGTAGAGTTCAGGCACAAGGAAGACTGAGGCCAACTAACTTTATCTTTGCCAGTCATGATAATATATACACAGGGAATAAAAGAGGGAGGGAAAGAAGTTTGTTTTGTTTTTTTAAAACCAGGTGAATGGGTTTTGAAGGTTAGCACATGAAATAAAACTATACACAGATTTTGGTAGCCTGCTTTTAAACATTCTGCAAGGCACTCTGAAAAGCTGAAATGGATTGGGCAGCTCCTGGCTTCAAGATGCCTAATTTCAGCTTGTTTTTCTGGCTTTGGTCTTCTCAATGTCACCACACATTATGTAGGGCTAGGACTGGTAGACCACCCCCAAAAAAGTGAGAAGAGACTAAAATGGCAGAAAAAAGAGACTAAAGAGACCAAGTCGCCAAGTGCTCCAGATATGGTTCAAATGTTTGATGCTCACATGTTTCCGTATTAAAAACTCTGATAAATAAAATACATGTATTTTTCAATAATCCCCAACCAAAGAAAGGCCGGTGTCGGTACCTGGGTTTTATTGTGCCGAGTATGGAGAGGACAGTCGCTCCAGGACAATTATTCTTGGAGGATTATAGTTGCAGGATGAGCCTCAGTGGTGACAAAGGAAGGGGGGAG